TCAGTTTTGTAATGACCACTGATTTATCTGTGTTCAATATATCTATCACCTTATAGATAGATAGATGAACAGAAAGAGGAAGAAAATGTATCAAAAGACGTGGAAGCATGCGAGTCTCTATATACATGTATTTATATGCACATGTATACGACGTATATTTAAGGCCTTTCCATTATTTTGCTTCTGTATTTACGAACTTAGTCTCACAGTTAATGAAATATCTTTTTTACATAGCAACATCTGCCATAGGAAACAAAAAAGAAATGTTTGAATAAGAAACTATTTTATTCAAGTAGACAAACCTCGCATGACATTAGATGAATGAAAACGTAACATGAAAAAATACATAGATGATATATGACAGAAGGAAGGGCGGAAGTGGGCGTTCAGTCGAGGCGCCTCACTTCTCGTAGGTGACCTCAGCGTTGAAGCCGTCGCCGTTGTCGTAGAATTTGACCACCTGCGGGAGATACGGAGAAAGTCATTTTATTGCAGGCTGATTTTTCAATTCATTTGTATCTAATATACAGAGAAAATAAGGAATGGACTCCAACGAAAAATAATGTCTACCAAAATTGATCCTTCCTAACAACGACGTGCCAGTTATTACGTTAAGTATTATATGAGTATTGTCATGCCACTCCAAGACGAGACAAGAACAACTACAAAAAAGGATCCAGCTCCTGATTCAAGGAAAGTGAAACTGACCTGAGTTCGTCCGTCGGGAAGAAGGACGCGGTACTCGCCCTGGGTCGTCTGGCCGTCGCTGTTCTCCACGTGGCTGAAGGCGTTGCCGCTGTCGCCGTCCTCGACGCCCCACGTGAAGTCGTACGGCATTCCTTGCATCGGCTGAGGACGGAACGCGAGTTGCATCAGTAAGATATCAATTTAGTTGTTTATTTATTTAGTTTTTTTATCTTTTATTATGGAAACCTTACATATTCCACCTAGCATGGCACAGGTCCTACCGGGCTGACAACTGCAGGGACGATGTTCTGAGGGGCGGCGTCCAGGGGCGTCTCGTAGAGGGAGGAGGGCGCTTGAGGGGGCTCGTAGTTGTACTGAGGCGCCGCCGCAATCAGGCCCACCATCGCCGCGAGGAAAGCAATCTGGAAATGGCATTGGATTCCAATTTATTCTCCGACTGCGAAACAATGTATTCTTCAATTTTTTAATCTATTCATTTTCAGTCTGGAAATAGTATCGGTTTCAGATCATTCCCCGACAGAGAAACATCCTATTTATAGAATATCATGAATTGGATCACTTCGCATATGTACTTATAAATATATTTTTAATGAAGTCCATGAATTGGATTCATTTTTACTGTGCAAAAAGGATTGCTATCGTTTCTCGCTCGTGAAAAGACAAATTTCTCTCTGAAACGAAATTGTCGTAATAAGTCCCAGTGACGCACCTTGGCTGACATGTTGTTAACAAGAGGAATGCGATCACACTGATGTCTTCGCCGAGAGAGGAACACTTATATACGCGCATGGACACGGGTAGGGGGGGTGGGGGGGGGCGACGCGGCCTTAGTTCCGTGTCCTTGTGGGATCAGACGGAGGAACTTGCCAAAACATCATAAACTGGGCGTTACGGTTAAATTGCACAGCTATTTACAGTTTTCTTGAAGAACTTTCTTTGCATATCTTGGATGTAAGAAATGGATTCATTACTTTTTTCTTTCTTATTGCAGGTATTGATAAAAACAGAAAGAAAAATGGTAAAAAAAAAAAAAAAAATGAATAACAAAGGTAACGACAGAATCGTAGTGTTGCAAATATCCACCGAGTTTTTATTTTGTCTTTTATTAAAGGATATACACATATCCACATATATTAGTGTAGACTTACTTTCATATATCGTCCGATGGGTATCATATCTTCTCTCTCTCTCTCTCTCTCTCTCTCTCTCTCTCTCTCTCTCTCTCTCTCTCTCTCTCTCTCTCTCTCTCTCTCTCTTCTCTCTCTCTCTCCTCTCTCTCTCTCTCTCTCTCTCTCTCTCTCTCTCTCTCTCTCTCTCTCTCTCTCTCTCTCTCTCTCTCTCTCTCTCTCTCTCTCTCTCTCTCTCTCTCTCTCTCTCTCTCTCTCTCTCTCTATATATATATATATATATATATATATATATATATATATATATATATATATATTATATTATATATATATATATATAATAATATATATATATATATATATATATATATGTATATATATATATATATATATATATATATATATATATATATATAATATATATATATATATATATATATATATAATATATTATATATATATATATATATATATATATATATATATATATATATATATATATATATATATATATATATATATATATATATATATATATATATATATATATATTATATATATATATATATATATATATATATATATATATATATATATATATATATTTGATATGATATTTCGTACGAATTACGGATATGTTTTTCTTTAGCATAGTTCTGACCAGA